ATTAATTATTTGATTGCTCATATAGTCCAAAAAAACAACTACTGAACAACTCCAAGTTGCGAACATAAATTTCATGGCACCATTATATAGAGTATACAACCATTATATAATAATCACGCCAGAACGTGGAGGTAAGGAACATGGTTATATATAAAAACAACTGTGATGTTTACGGTTTTTCCTGATTTCAATGAAACATGTAGAAGTGATATTTCATTAATAAATATAATGAAAGAAGCTCATGCATGAATGAGTAGAATGTAACTCCCAACTTCACACTTAACGAAGTTTCAAGCGAAGAATAAGAAACTGTTCTTTCAAAAGGCAAAATGACAAGCGATGAATTTTTATATATAATTCACTTAAACTTTCTTTCGTTTATTGGAGAAAAATAAGGAAAGGATGATGACAAGTTTAGGGGCTGGGGGCAGCAACCTGGCCGAAAATTGCATCGTGATTATTATTAGTTATATCATCCCATCAACGTCAATATCAAAGAAAGTCATGATTCGTGAAGAGTATAAAAAAAAGATTATTAGTTCCTGTCAAGAAAACATAGAAAAAATAAGAAGATTATTAAGGGAAAAAAAGTGTACCCCCCCTTTTTTGAATATTAATAGAATTGTCCGTTGGCAAAAAAAAGAAAAGAATATTAATAGAATTGGCTTTGTTCGTGCCGAAAAAAGGTCATCGGAAGCAAAGGAGCGGAGCCTAATGGAAGGCACGCATTGTCTTCGCTTGAAATCAGATCTCATCGTCTTTCCTCCTTTGAATATATGGTCTCGTCAGTGCTTTTGGACCACACATCCTTTCGCCTAAAAGCTTTCTGCTTTGAACCTTTCCCATTCGTCTCCATTTCGGTACGCTTATGCTCATGTTGGCCTGCAGCGTTTTGGCGGAATTGATCAAAATCCTCTATCTCAGATGTAGAATTTATTTTTTATGGTAAGAAAATGTAAAATTTATTTTCAATGGAAGGTCATTTAATTGATAAGAATTTCCTATTATTAAAAGGACTTTGTTGATAGGTATTAGATGATAACTATAAATACTTTTCGAGCCCTAAAATTTACTTCCTTGATGATCTCGTTTGGGCTATGATGATACTAAGACTGAATATATTGAAAGGGACTTTTGTTTTTGAGCTTTTGTATGTAAGTTGGAGTTTTCATATCTTAGCAACCTTCAGGGAATCAGCCAACTACCCGAAGGAAAAAAAATGCATTCTCTCTGAGAATTACAGAAGGTTAAGCACGTTCAATGTAATTATAGAAGCAAGTTAACTTATGGCATCATCCCTCTCCCTAGCTAGCTACTACTTCATAACATGAGTAGTTTAATCATTGCAAATGCATATATGGACCGATACGTTAATAATCCCTCAAATAATCTCAGCTATCGTCCAAAATTGACGAGCTGGATTAATTTGGCAGGCAGATTCATCGATATTCTGGCTTTGTATTGCTCAATGTGCAAATGGCTGGCAGTGGCCGATGCAAGTCTTCTCGTGATATTGCCAGTATGATAATTGGGATTTATTCGGATAGTACTTGACAGATGATGTCATGTGATTACCTAACTACACACCCACCTACTCGCAAACTAACCGAGGATGGCAGAAGCCAGAAATTAAATTAGTCACAGGTCCAATCTCAAATTAAACCACCTACAGTAATATCCAGTGTCTACCACTCTAATATTATTTATGATGCATATGGCATTTTGGTGTTATTTTTGTGATACATCTAGCACCTCTAATATTATTGTCCAATTGCATTTAACACTATATTTTTTTTATAGTTTAAGATGTCGGATGTACTATAAATAAAATTAAGATACTTAAAGCATCAAAAACAAAATATCATGGTGTTAGATGTATCATAAATAAGATTATGTTACTCTTTTTGCCGGAAAATAAGGTTATGTTACTAAATGTAATTGATAGATAATATCATGATGTTGAATATTATTTTACCATTCATTTATTATTTATCAAGATCGATCTCTCACCTATTTCCCTTTTTCAACTTTTGCAGAGCGACGGGGCGTAGAGATGAAAATATTGGCAAATCGGGAGTCAAAATTGGCGTTTATTGCTCAATGATGCCCAAATTTTAGCCGCCGTTAAAATATTTATACATATATATATATATATATATGTATATATATTAAGATCAGTTCCACAATTCCATGAACTTGAGCAAGCACATGACTCCAATCAGGAGGCCGATTTTTGTCGGAACGCCGGCCCATTAATTATAATAATGATAGCCACGTGAAACCAGAATATATGTTAAATATGTATTGTTAATGATAATAAAGCAAGCGCAATGTTAATTAACGTACACGAGCAGAGTTCATATAAAGCGAAGGCGAAGCTTTTGATGGTTCATGCATACATCTTGCTTTACGCTCATGTCCCCAAAAAATAGAGGGGGGGATAGAAGGGGGGCGAGGGAAAAATCAAAGCATTCCAATAAAGTTGCCCACAATATACTACATCTATTTCTTAATAAAAGAATTAGATTGACATTTCATTTGATACTAAATATAAGATCTCAATCTATTTTGTCTTTTATATTTATCTATTTTTTTCTTAATGTAGTCCTTGTAGCAGTTGTACATGTTAAAGTTTTATCAAATAATAATTTTAACTAATACACATGATTAATGAGGATATTTTAAAAAAAATACTTATTTATTATAAATAACTAACTTAACTAATTTTTTTAATATAATACTTGCCTCGCGTAACCAGTTCATCAAAGCATGGCAGTACCTGCTGTTCATAATGTAAGACCACGGTTTCGGTGAATCACACAGTAGTTTAATGAAAGTGGTTAATTAGTTAATAATCGTTTTAAAAAAATAAATTATCAAAACATTATAAATTTATACTTAAGCTATTAACCTTTGTCAGAATACATTAATACTCTATCCATTTTCAAACAATGGTAACTTTAGAGTTAAGAACCTAATTAGCGTCGTAAACTGTAAGAAAACTAATAATAGATCTAAATCTAAATTTAACAAAATGCAATAATATTTTACAAAACATCCCTAATTATTATGTTTTACCTTCGGTCTTAATGTTACTTTCTTATCCCTCTCTTTCATTATCGAGAGATAAAATTAGCAGGTGAATAATTCATGATTAATTTAAAATTTAAGATGATTATCACTTGGAAACAAAATCTAAAACCCCGAAGTGGTTGTTGCTTAAAATAGGAGTATTAATTCCTCCTTGCACCTAATAAATTGATTTTTTTTTTAAAAAAAAGAAATCCGTTATGATGATGCTTTACGATGAATTGAAGGTTATTAATTTCATGAAGAGCTAAGCTTTATCGAAAATTGTTGTACATTTTCAAAATTACTCTCAATGAATTTAAATTCATATTAATTTTCCCCTTTATCACTTGCTCAATCATAACTTTTTTTGATCATTTAACGACAGGCAAAGTTGAAAAAAGATTCAATGTTCTATAAATTTTATAATTGACTTATATTTTGCATATTTAAAATTTTCTAGAACTAAAGTTACGTACATACTCCATACACACACACACATATATAAAGAGGAGGAGTGATTCTCAAGTCATCATCACTCCATTCCCAGGAAACATGGCCTAATTAAAAACAAAGAATTCCAAGATGGATCGCATTGTCATTGATTATTATATCGCTCTCTCGGACTTTTCTCTCTTTCGACTATTTGGCATTATTAATTAATGGCAACTTAGTGCATCAAGCGAATAACAACTAATAAAAAAGACGGAGGGGCAGCCATCAACATTGTAATAAATAAATATAACTGGGATTATGATGACCAATAAATATATATATATCTATATACTACTATATGCTTCGCCGCCTCCACTAAATTTTAACATTAGTTTCTCGATTTTGACCGAGAGCGTATATTAGGAAGTCCGATCAATCACGGAGTATAAATAAATCGACGAACTTTGAAAGCCTAAATGCATAATAACCATAGCATAACACAATATTAACGAGAAAGTTAATATTATTCCTCATTTTTGCATAAAATATATATATGCTGCTTTAAACTAATTCATCCACTCACTATATACCATTACGATGCAAAAAATAATCCAGTCATGCTCCAATTTTATATCTCGAGTAATTAATTACTTCCATTAGGTGCCAACAAAATTAAATTAGCTAGACGTTATACTATGTTAGAAATAGCCAAACCAACACCCTTTTGATATCCACCCAAAAAAAAAGGAATAAAGACAAAAGGAAAGGAGGGAAAATAAATAAATAAATAAATTAGAGCGGTTTGAGCCAAACCAGTAACAAGAGGAACATCGTTACCCATGCAGCATGTTTTAACTTTTGCGTTTTAACATGCCAGAAGTGAGGAGGAGTTAGTCAACGCGAGCTCTGGCGCGTGGGGATTATCCGAGGATGAGAGTTATTGTTTGTGGGGCAAACTAAAACCAGATCATTAGAGAAAGCTTGCTGCCATCTCTAAGCACAAATCAAATCTTTGACGCAGCCATATAGACATCAACTGGTCTCCAGTTAAAGGGCGAAGACTGAAAATATTAAAGGCCAAAAAAACAAGAAATTAAAGACTATTCAGTACCTGTGACTTTGTGGATATGCATCTCAATTCTCATAGACTGGACTGCGTAATTTGACACATTCCATACGCTTACCGTTTCGATTCTGCCCACCACCTGACCGAAAGGTATATCCCTGACCATTCCTCCTCTTAAATTGAACCCTACACGACTAATTCGCACCTCCTTCACGTATGCATGCCACTGTATATAAATAGGACGTTGAGCTCAGGAAATCAAACAGACAAGAACCTAAATCTTCCTGAGATTTGTCTTGAGTAGAAACAAACTTAAATACCTGCCTTACCATCTGCCTGCTCCCACATTTTCTTCAGCATTCATTTTAGTACAAACTCGCACTTGCTTTCCATTTTCCACCTGGCTGATCCGATCCACCGTAACCAAAATATGGAGAGAACAAAGTCATCCCTTCTTCAAATTCAACCCCCAACCTATGGAAATCTAGTCACCATTCTCAGCATCGATGGAGGCGGTATTAGGGGCATCATCCCTGCCGCCATTCTCGAATTCCTGGAATCTCAACTCCAGGTATGAATCTACATATATTCGTAGATGGAGATACACTTGGAATGAATATCTTACAATGCTGTGGTGTCTCTCTTGCATGCATATGTGGTCTTCAAACATGAATACCATATTTTGTCGTAGCACAAACGTCCAATTTCTGTGTCCATATAAAAAAAAAAATTTACCTTAATGTCACTGCATGCACACATACTGGTTGATAGCAAAGATATGAATTTTCTACACAGTAATTAATGCTATATTGGATCCGAAAGTTGGTGAATAAATGAAGCCTATCACTTATAGCAATGTGGACATTCTTGCAGGAGCTGGACGGTGAAGAAGCAAGGCTCGCAGACTACTTTGATGTGATTGCAGGAACCAGCACGGGGGGTCTCGTAACCGCCATGCTCACCGCTCCAAATGGAAGGAAGCGACCACTCTTTGCTGCCAAGGATATCAAGCCCTTTTACCTGGAGCACAGTCCAAATATATTCCCACAGAAGTATGCGTATAGAAACTCTAACGTCTCCTTTTGTTTGACTTGTTGGTCTGGTTCTTACGATTAAATGTATGTATAGATTCTCATTCGGAGCGATAGGAAAATTGTTCAGATCAATGGCTGGTCCCAAGTACGATGGCGAATACCTTCATCAAGTAGTGAGACAGAAGTTGGGAGAGACTCGGTTGCACGAGACACTCACCAACGTTGTCATCCCCACCTTTGACATAAAGGCGATGCAGCCAGTCATATTCTCATCTTATCAGATCAAGAAGTCCCCTTTTTTGGACGCTCGACTCTCTGACATATGCATCAGCACCTCTGCTGCGCCTACTTATCTTCCAGGCCACCACTTCAAGAACCAAGATTCTGAAGGCAACGTCCGCGAATTCAATCTTATTGATGGCGGTGTTTCTGCAAATAATCCCGTATGTTTTATTAATTAATTTATCTTCACGGAACGTGAAATTAACTTTTACCCCGTTAATTCATTTTTAATCGTATGGTTATTATATGCATATACATGATTAGATTTCATTTTCCCGTGATGATCCAGACTTTAGTTGCCTTGAACCAAGTGACGAAGCAGGTCATTAATGAAGATCCTGATTTCTTTCCCATCAAGCCCATGGATTATGGTCGCTTCCTCATAATCTCAATAGGCACAGGCACAGCAAAGAATGAGCAAAAGTTCAATGCAAAAATGGCTGCCAAATGGGGATTGTTGGACTGGTTAACTAAAGGCGGCTCTACCCCTTTGATCGACGTGTTTACACAATCCAGTGCTGATCTCGTCGATTTCCATTTAGCTACCGTCACTCAAGCCCTTCATTCACAGGATAATTACCTAAGGATACAGGTGTGTGTGTGTGTGTCTATATATAAATTTTATATACATATATTCTCCCCTATATGTAAATATATGCCTAACAATGCGTGGGTAAAAACAAAATTTGAAAATGTGTATTGTTCGGCATATACATACATACATACATATTTGTATATGAATATTAATTTGTCTCTTGTTGGCGGGGGTAATTGCAGGATGATACGTTGGCTAGTACAGTTTCGTCGGTTGATATTTCCACCGAAGAGAATTTAGAAAAACTGAGCCAAACAGGTGACGATCTATTGAAGAAACCGGTTTCTAGGGTCAACTTAGAGACTGGTCTGTTTGAACCCGTCGAAAATGGAGGGACCAATGAGGATGCTCTCAAAAAGTACGATATATATCGATCTTAATTTTAGATTCTTGATATACCCGTTTAGAATTCATTTCAGGACAAAAAATTACGTTCGCTCAAATAAGTTAGGTTCTGTATTAATTACCGGGATGTCTTTCGCAGGTTTGCAAAAATTCTTTCTCAAGAAAGGAGGCTGCGAGAAATGAGATCCCCACATGCCAACACCAAGACATCAGGGCCCGATAGTCTGTTTATCTAGGAATAATAAGATTATTTCCCATTGTTCTGTAATAAAATTAGTCTATTTCAGTTCTTCTTTGTTTCTTTTACCTAACCATAAATTGTGATCCTGAAAAAAAAAAAAAGGGTGCAAGTCTTTAGTTCCCCCGAACTTTATGTACTTTCGTGTACTTTAGGGATTGCCATTCAATAAAAGCATATAGAAGTATGCTTAAAGATTTCAATGATTGTTGTGAAAAATGAATTTGATAATCAAATTCTAGATTTTATTATGATTGTCATGGTATTATTTACATATACATTTTCACCATAATAATTTATACTTTACCAATAAATATTCTTACCATATATTGTTTAAATAAATTTTAAGAAAATTTAAATATGTTTACCTCTCTAAAATCTACAAATCCATTTAAATTTGGATGAGATGCGTATGCTTCTCCATAAACAAAAGTAGTGTAGTGGAGTCAATTTCATTTGACATGATTTAAAAGTTCGTTTCAATAAACATTACATTCAAGCAACGTGTTGTAAAACTAAATTTTAATAAAATACACAAATACTGTATTACGATTTACGGAAAGAAACTTTTGCCCCGTTAATTCAAGGACTCCATCATTGTACATCTGTTGCTTATGCAATTATGTTCTCTCAAAAACATCATTTTTTTAGTCAATGAAAATTAACTCAAAGTCTAGTAATATAATGAGTGCATATAATTAATTCTAAAACTATTAACTTGTTATGGGGAGAATCCTAAAAAAATATATTTGAATTTCAAAATTTTAAATTAATTTTGTTCACTACACTTTAATAACAATTGACAGCATTTAAAAACAAAATAACAACATATTTTTATAGTCATTTTTCATTTGAAATTTTAAAATTTTAGAAGTAATTTTTTGAGATTTTTTTCATTATTATTTCTAAAATGATTTATTTTTAAACAACTTTGTCTCCCGAACCCAAGGTCATGGCGCTACCTTGAATTAACGCCCATATGAATTTTTGTTATCAATACACGTCGACAGATAGGTTCAAGATCTCGATTGGCAATTATTTGATTGAAAATTAAATTATCTTTGCATAACTACTATCTCCGGTCTTTAATATAAGAATTAATTAACTAATTTAAGTAGATTAAAACAATTAGTTAAATTAGTTAATTGTAATAAATATGTATTATCTTTCTTAAAATAACTTAACTAATCAATTATATTGGCTAGAACTATCATTATTATAAAGACCATATAAAAAAAAAGATAAATGTATAAGACAAAACGGATTGGAATGCTAAATTTAGAACCAAAATAAAAAACAAACAGGTTTTTACATTAAGGAACGAAGATAGTAAATCATTAAAAGAAAAAGAAAGTAAAAAAAATAGTTGAGTGAAAATTGAATATAAAATTAGCATCAGTTTCTCTTATTGAAAGAAAGGATCGACATGGTTATTGAAATAGTAAGAGATGAAATTAGTTTGCTTGTCACGGTAAAAATACAAGCACCAAAACCACAAGTGAGATACGGGTCCCATGTGAGCCCATTTTGTTTTTGCATACAGTGCAACGAAATTAAACAAACTATACTACCTTTAATTTTTAATATAAAACTAATTAATTAATTTAAGTAAATTAAATAAAATTAAGTTAATTGGTTGTAATAAATCAGTTTTATTTTTTTAAAAAATAACCTCACTAATCCTATGTATTAACTATAACTACCATTTTACAAATTTTTAATATGTACAATTATTATAATAAATGTTTTTAAAAAAATAGAGAAAATAAATTTGAATCTTATATTTAAAATCAAATTAAATGTTAATCTAACTTCTCTATTAAAGGCCCAAAATAATATATTATTGCAGGCCTAATTACGAGTTATGATGGCGTATAGCTTACTGACAACATATCCCCAGCATATTCAGTTAATACGTAAGCGAAGGGGAAGGCAGCAATTTTTGATGGCGACAGTACTCTCGTTCGTCTTGGAAATTCCCACCGTTTTAAAACGACCGGTTATTTCGTTGGATAGTAGTGCCTCGTATTCTCAACATAAAAAATTGAATAATTAATTTATAAATATTTTAAAAATTAGTTAAATTAATTAATTATAATAAATATATATTAATTTTTTAAAACCCTTTCTCTAATAATGTGTATTAAAATTATCTCCTAATAAAAACTCATACAATTAATGAAAATATTTTTAAAAAATTATAAATTTAGAAGATAAATTAAACTGAAGTCTTATATTTATAACCAAACTCAATACCAAATAAGCTATTCTAGTAACCACCGGAGATAGGATTATTATTGTTTTTTTGGTAATGATTACTGTTTGTTGTTACATGCGTCACTTATAATTAACAAGTTACATTATCTTATATGCACGCATCTATAGGAGTTAGGTGGACGACTGCGAATGGAGAAGTCGCTTTCAGCGGAGAAGGAATTTGAGCCTACGAGATGCACTTGCACTGGTAATTCCTCTGGTTCATATTATAAAAAATCTTTTAGAATTCTTTTATCTATTTTATAAGACGTTTTATATAGTCTCAATAAGTATCAAATATTTATTTTTCATAAATGTCCATATTTAATAAGAATATCGAGAGAGAATTAAAAATTAATATGATGTTAGAATTTAGTATGATTAATAAGAGCAATAAAAATTACTTAAATTTTATGATAAATTTAATGTTTTTAACTAATTCAATTGATATGTATAAATGATTTAGAAACATCTTATATTATGAATGAGAGGACGTACGTGACATCCACAGCCTAACAAATCACTGAAATTCCATCTTATAATACGTTAATCCTTACCTTTGCTTCTTGCCAGTTTATTCATGCCATCATGTGATTGAATTTAATTGGTTAAGTATGGAACAAGTTAATACAAGTGATTTTGGTCCCCCAGACGAAAAAAAACAAGTGATGACCTACATGCATGTCACCAGACGTGTACGTCCAAATAAAGACGTCCCATATATACCAAGAAATTAAATTAGTTTGTTGCCAAGTCTATTTCCAGTTCCAGATTTTAAAGTATAATTAGATTATTTATTTTCAATAACCACCATAATAAATGGAGGGCATTACACGAAAGTAATTAAAATTTTAAATAGTATGATATTAATCAAGTGGAGACAGGTAAACGGGGAATGGAAATCTTACGTAGTAATATGTGTGTGTGTGTTATTTTCGCGTTGATATATGTTGTTTTCTTCCTACGAAGACAGGTAATGGGGATGGAGATCCTACAGGAAAGCAAAAAAAAAAAATGTTAATATTTTTATGAAAAATGATGTTTAAGCATATACATCATTTTAAAAATTAAATTGTCTGTATTCATTGAAATTATTATTTGTATTTTAATTTATAAAATTATCATTTTTACGTTACTATCCGTGATTTTGAAATTGCAAATTTAAAATATTATTAGAATATTTCATACATCAAGCTACAATTATTTTAAAAAAGACAAGGGACAAGTTAACAAAATACTTTTCTGATCTTATTTATAAGGTAGAAAAAGAAGAAAATTTTTAGTCCTATTTATAGGACAGAGTAAAAATTTATCATATAAATGTATAATTTTATCTTTAATTTATTATTGTATTTACTTTATCCCATGAAATATATTGTATACTAAATAAGAATAAAGTAAAAAAAATTATTAAATTTTGAATAAACATGCACGCTCTCTCTGATTTACGGTAGCTTTTCATTCTTTCGTCTTTTGTGGTCCGTATATATAAATAATAAATGCAAGCTCGTTTGAGTGGGCGTTGGCAGAAAAACTTGTCGAGTGGGGCAGTCGTAATTGTCATATCGGGCTTATTAATTATTCCCAGCGACCCACCCGCTCGCCGCCACCCGCTCAGAGAACAAAATATATGACCACCCAGGATGTCCCATTAATAGCGGATTGATATATTAATGAATTACAAGCACGTGGGGTGTGTGCGTATATTATATCGGGGGAGAAAACACACGCACGCACGCACACAAATATAGTAATGTGCATGAATGTATACGTTGCTTTACATTTTTGAACAGGTAATTACGAGTGTCTTGCTCAACAGGTAATTACGAGTATCTTGTTCAGCAGGTAATATGTCATGGGACGTTAGAATAATAGGCAAGCATTAAACCAGTGGAAGTGCATGCATCCCAAACGAACAAATTAAGATGAGACCACAAATTGAAGGGTTTATAGAAGACTTGTCAACGCAATCACGCGTGGGTAACATTCTGGGACGAGTTCACGTATGCTTAACTAGAACCCGGTCTGGTCTTCAGAGAAGACTAATCGATGGCCATCCTCAATCACTGATCTGGTCTCATAGATGAAGCGACTGTTCATAATAGTCGTTCATCGGGTCTCCAGGAAACGGGGATGGATCTGACTTGGGATATTAAGACAAACAATGTTAGGCGGAGAATATTCAACGATGTGGATGAGTGTCTCATGATTATATTCTCATGGACTCAGCAACAAATTGGACTCATTCCGTACTTTTACCATTCCGATTCTCATCATCATCGGCATTTCCGTGAACATTCCTCTTCCTGACTCCAATATCACATATCCCACTATAAATAGCACGTTGAGCACAGCAATTTATCAAACAACCAAAATCTGAAATCTTGCCATATATAACTCCTTTCTCGGCACTCGCCTTGCGCCCTTGCCCAAAAGTTTACTATCTATCTGCTATAACTTCAATTCCATATTTTCTTTAGCATTCCTTAATTTCCATATAAACACGCACCTAGAGATCCGTTAAACTATGGAGAGAACAAAGTCATCCCTTCTTCAAATTCAAGCCCCAACCTATGGAAACCTAATCACCATTCTCAGCATCGATGGAGGTGGTATTAGGGGCATCATTCCCGCCACCATTCTCGAATTCCTCGAATCTCAACTCCAGGTATAAATCTACAGATTCTACACGAGCACACACACTAGGAACGCACAAGTTTTCTGTGGCGTCTCCTGCATCGGTCTTTAATTAATTAGAAGGAATATATATCATATACTATTCGGAGTACAGCAGCTTTTGTATTTGTGACATAAATTTAATTTTATTTGGACGGCCATGCAGGAACTGGATGGTGAAGAAGCAAGGCTCGCGGACTACTTTGACGTGATTGCAGGAACCAGCACGGGAGGTCTCGTAACCGCCATGCTTACTGCTCCCGACGAAGAGAAGCGACCACTCTTTGCTGCCAAGGATATCAAGCCCTTTTACCTGGAGCACTGTCCAAGCATATTCCCACAAAAGTATATATGAAACTATGATTTTTCTTTTCATTAGTTCAAATTAATGAAACTTAAACCGAAGAGATCCGATCCTGATTTCTAACCTGTACTTACGAATGAATTTGCAGATTCTCATTTGGAGCGATAGGAAAGTTGTTCAGATCAATGGCTGGTCCCAAGTACGATGGCGAATACCTTCATCAAGTAGTGAGACAGAAGTTGGGAGAGACTCGGTTGCACGAGACACTCACCAACGTTGTCATCCCCACCTTTGACATAAAGGCGATGCAGCCACTCATATTCTCATCTTATCAGATCAAGAAATCCACTTGTTTGGATGCTCGACTCTCTGACATATGCATCAGCACCTCCGCTGCACCTACCTATCTTCCTGGCTACCACTTCAAGAACCAAGATGCCCAAGGCAACGTCCGTGAATTCAACCTGATTGATGGCGGTGTTTCTGCAAATAATCCCGTATGTTGTATAAGCTGATCTTCACGCACAACGTGAAACTGTTCTTCTCCCACTAATATAAATTATTGATTTTAATGTGATATACATTTATATTAGATGAGTCCGTAATTAATTTTTGATTCTTTAATGATGCAGACTTTAGTCGCCTTGAACCAAGTCACGCAGCAGGTCATCAATGAAAATCCTGACTTCTTCTCCATCAGGCCCATGGACTATGGTCGCTTCCTTATAATCTCAATAGGCACGGGCACGGCAAAGAATGAGCAAAAATTCAATGCAAACATGGCTGCCAAGTGGGGAATATTGGATTGGTTAACCCACGGTGGTTCTACTCCTTTGATTGACGTGTTTTCCCAATCCAGTGCTGATCTCGTCGATTTCCATTTAGCAACAGTTACCCAAGCCCTTCACTCACAGGATCACTACCTTCGGATACAGGTATATATAACTCCCTTCTATATATTACTATATGTAAATATTGCCTATCTATGCATTAATTAATGGGAGGACAAGATTTAAGATCTATATTTACATGCTCCGAGACAAAAAATTTAATTAGTCCTTGCTGGTGGCGGCAAAATGCAGGATGACACATTGATTGGTACAGTTTCTTCGGTTGATGTTTCTACGAAAGAGAATCTGGAAAAATTGTGCCAAACTGGCGGAGAGCTGTTGAAGAAACCAGTTTCCAGAGTCAATTTAGAGACGGGTCTGTGCGAACCCGTCGAAAATGGAGGGACCAATGAGGATGCCCTTAAAAGGTATAATATAATATATCTTAGATCTATCCTTCTAGAATCTATTATATTGCAAGGTACTCAAATAATTGAATTTACTTAGATTAAATGATTGAAAATCTTTGTGAATTGTTTGGATATCTTTTGCAGATTTGCCAAAATACTTTCCCAAGAAAGAAGATTGCGGGAAATGAAATCTCCACATACCAACAAGGCAGCAGCAACAAGGCCTAATAGCTTGTCCATATAGTTTCGGCACGGGCTTTAGTCACCGCCAGATTATTTGACATGTTACTTCTCATTTTGTTCTGTAATATACTTAGTCAACTTGATTCATTCTTTATTTGATTTCGCTGTCAATTGTAATTCTGTTGAAGAAGGTACAAGAATGTATTTCTCCTTCATCTTGTTGGACTTATATATACGTGCTTAACTGATTGCCTCTCAATAAAAGCATAAATTATGATATATGTTTAAAGCGTTTAACTCCTTTTCCATGAAACTTATTTATAAACATTTGAATGAACTGGGTACGTTCCCTTGAAATGGATTCGACAATCCCGTGAAAAATTTTTGAGACTTCAACTAAGGGAAAGTTTTATCTTTCTCAAATTCATTTAGGTAATAAAAATAAAGTAATAAAGTAATATTGTACTGGCCTATTTAGAATAATATACTAGAAGACCATCAGTAAACCTCGGGGCAAGAAATAAAATTAGCATTCAATTATAATTGGGTAGCATGTAACTTCACATATATCAACTCAAGGGGAAACTTATGTCTCACGAGGCAAGAAATAAAAATACAGTGGCTGCTTTTTGGAAGTCACATGAAGTCCCGAAGGATTCACAAGTCCGCGGCCGCGCGTATGTCCGTTTGCCCCTCTCAATCTTGAGGACAGTTCCCGTGGTAGCGAGGAGCGTGAGTTGGACAAGAATGAAAGCGCGTGAAGTTGGCAGCTCAGAACCAGAATGCTTTTTAACTTTATCGAAGAAGTTGAGTCAACTAGAAAAATTATGGGAAGCATAGCGTGAATCTTTAGCCGCTGACTCCGTCTTCCTTAGCTTCGTATCATTTCCAGTAGTCCAGCTTGCACAGGGGTCGCTCTCCATAAATATCACCTTGGTCTCATCAAGAATTATAAACATCATAACCAGAAACCGGAGCTTTCTTCCCACTTTTCCTTGCCGTTATTCTTCATTTATTCACTTTGATATAGTGATCTGTAGCATTGCATTTCAATGGAAAGAGCAAAGTCATCCGTTGAACAAATCCAGCCCCCAACTTATGGGGACTTGGTAACCATCCTGAGCATCGATGGTGGTGGCATTAGGGGTATAATCCCGGCCACTATTCTTGCTTTCCTCGAATCCAAACTCCAGGTACGTACATCCAAGCACCGCTTTTAGTTCTCCACAGAAGCATGAAACCTCTCACATGCCTATGTGACTTTTTTTGCATCACTTTAAAGGATTTGAATCTTTGCTAGTTTTTTTCTGTACTTACTATAAAAATTTGCTTAACTTTCATTTTGATCCTAAATATAAAACTCTGATCTATTTTGTCTCTCATATTTATTTATTTATTTTAAGTTAGTCCTTATAATAATAGTAGTTCTGACCAATACACGTTTGATTAGAGAAGATATTTTAAACATCTATTTATTACAAATAACTAATTAAATTAATTTTTTAATCTATTCAAATTAGTGAACTAATTTTTATATTAAGAATAAAAGGTAGTTCCACACAATCTTTCAAACTCTCATATATTCACCTGAGGTCGATATTGACCTCCGTACAGGAGCTGGATGGGGAGGATGCAAGACTTGCAGACTATTTCGATGTCATCGCAGGAACAAGCACCGGCGGTCTTGTAACGGCCATGTTAACCGCTCCAAATGAAAACAATCGCCCAGTTTTTGCTGCTAAAGATATCAAACCGTTTTATCTGGAGCATTGCCCAAAAATTTTCCCTCAGCATAGGTATGGATAACTACTACATCAAGTGGTCAATATAAAATTTAATTTACTAATTTGAAGATGTTAAAGAGGTTATTAAATTACTTGATAATAGCATATGTTACATAATCTCTCTAAAATACTTATGTAGATTATTAGGTTGTATATCAATTTATAAATGAGGTAAATTAGTTTTAAAAAAAACAATAAATATAAATAGTTTAAGATAATTGAATAATTTTTTTTATTTTTCTAAATTAGTTAACTCATCTTATATTATTATTGATATGCTTCTGTTTAAAGTATTTTTGGCTCATATAATAACCGTGAAATCGATTAAAATTCGAATTGATGATTTGGGCAGAGGGCTGCGTGCGACGGTGGTAGCAAAAGTAATCAGATCATTGGGAGGACCCAAATACGATGGAAAATATCTTCACTGGATCATTGGAGAGAAGCTGGGAGAAACTCTTTTGCGCCAGACGCTCACCCACGTTGTCATCCCCACCTTCGATGTCAAGAACTTGCAGCCAACCATTTTTTCGTCTTATCAGGTCTGTCCGTCCGTCCGTCTGTCTTTATCCCCAAAGTTGGTGAGACCAAGAGGCTTTTTTCCTTCGACGTGCCTGTAGGGGTAATTTAATAATTTCAAAGGTCATGGTCCCCTACTAGCTGCGACGACCTTGACTTGGGCAGTTGAAAATTTTCTAAAGCCATAATGGTTGTTATTACTAGAATTGAAAAAATAGGTCGAGCTTAGTCCGTTTAGACCCGAAAATTATGAAAACTGGATTTAAAGTTTTTTTCCCTCAAATAAAAGATAGGTCATACAAGATTAACCTTGTAGGGTTGAGGACCAGTCTGTTTAGGTCTTTTTATAAATTTTTTTATGTAATTATAATATTATTAATTTTTTATATTATTAATGATATTTCAAATATTTAGTTATTATTATCATTTTAAATTTAAATTTCATGAAATGGTCTGATTTATTTAGTTTTAGACAATAATTTGTCCAATTAAATTTTTAAAGAATGGGTTACTTTGCACTTTAATAATCATTTGATTTATATTATATGTGTTGATATTTTTAAACTACATATATTTGATAAGAGAGTGTTTTTATACTTATATAACTTGTGATTCTATAATTTGAATTAGAAATTTATGAGTTTTAACAACAATATTTCTCAAACTAAAGTAAAATATAACTAGACTATAAAATTTAAAAGTGAAATTTTTATAAACAAGGAAAATTTGATATTTCTGTTACGAAATAAAAACATACTTATTAAGAAGAGTAATTGATTATAGTGATGATGAAGTTTCAAAATATTAATGATAGTGTTTGTTTATTGTATATTTGCACTATAGATGAAACTTTTGGATGTTGTAATCTTGTTAATGAATGTTTTAGGTTTTCTTGGATGTTGATGGATATTTATATATGATAATATTTTGTATTTGTGACTTAATTTTATTCATATTTATGTCTTTTATTAATAATTTCATTAGTTTATTTTTATTTTTTGATAAAAAATATGAGAAGTATGAAAAATAGTATTTTTTTTCTTAAACGGGCTGAAAGTTTTAAGCTCGTTAGCTTAAAGACCGGGCTTAGAAAATTGTGATATTTTTGAAATCTCGGTCCTGTAAGACCAGTCCTTTTAAGCTCGTTAGTCTTTCAGAGCTAGCCCGGACCTCTGGTGATTGCTACGAGCCATGCATCCCTGTTCACCCGCAAATTCTAGCTGGATCGAGATATTTATTTGATCAACACCACCTGGGATTCTCGGGCTTGTCTGGTTCGAAATCTTCAAAAGTCATAGGGGAAAACTTCAATTTACATGAAAACTAGAATATCTGAAAAATTAATAATCAAGTGCTGCTAACAAGATTTCAAATAATGGATACAGATTAACAGGTGTCCTTGCTTGAACGCAAGACTCGCTGACATATGCATCGGCACATCGGCGGCACCTACGTACCTTCCTGCCCACCACTTCAAGAACCAAGACTCCACTGGCGAAGAACTTGAATTCAACCTCATTGATGGTGGTGTAACTGCAAATAATCCCGTACGACGCATTAATCAATATCCCTCAAACTGATTCTTATTCAGTTTTGTTTGTGTGTGGATTATTTATTATTTATATGGGGACTAATTGGGCAATGGCTTGCTTCTTTTGGGCCCAGACACTGGTGGCTATCAACCAAATAACGAAACAGATAATGGAGGATAATCCTGACTTCTGCACAATAAAGCCTTTGGAATTTAGGCGCTTCCTAATAATCTCACTAGGGACGGGCACGCCCAAGAATGAGAAAAAATTCACTGCACAACTAGCAGCCAAATGGGGCCTACTGGGTTGGCTATCCCATGGAGGCTCTGCCCCTTTGGTGGATGTGTTCACTCAGTCAAGTGCTGATATGGTTGATTTCCATGTAGCTACTGTCACTCAAGCGCTCCAATGTGAAGATCGTTACCTCCGAATACAGGTCATTTAAATTCTAATTTTAGCAAAAAATAGATACTAACTTCAGTACTTAACATAAGATTCAGTTTGTAGTTTAAATTAGATCTTATATATTAAGGATGGGATGGATTTAGTACTATACAGCAAAATTAACAAGAATAAATTGATAATAAAATCAGACTATCCAATTAAATTCTTTGAACGCAACCATATATGCAGGATGATACACTGACGGGTACGGAGTCTTCGGTTGATATTGCCACAAAAGAGAACTTGCAGAAGCTGCAACAAATTGGGGAAAGGCTGTTGAAGAAACCTGTCTCTAGGGTGAACTTAGAAACTGGTGAGTCTGAGCCAGCAGGGAACGGGGAGACCAATGAGGAAGCTCTTGTTAGGTAAGGCAAATTACTAATAGTAACTTGTGCGAGCGGGTCAATTAAGGGCTTCATATATATATATTGCAACTCATCAGACTTCACTAAGTTGTGGTTTTGATGAATCCCTCAGGTTTGCGAAGTCACTTTCCCATGAGAGGAGACTCCGAGGAATGAGATCTCCGCATACCAACGAGGCCTAGCTCAGCGCCGCCATCGCATAGTTTGATACTGTTCCCATCTAGCAGTTTGTGTTCAGATTCTAATTAATCTATGATTGATAAGTAAAATTAGGGAATTTCATGGCTTTGTTTTTCTCCTGAATTATTTAATTATTAGCTCAAGTGAAAAACTCCTTAATTATTATATGAGGCGGAATGTATTTCTTATACCCTCGGAACCTAAGTTAATTAGTAGCTCAAATAATTAATTACTCTTAACATTTCTTTTTCTTTTATGCAAAGATTAAATAAATAAAAAATTTTGACGACGAACGGATGATAAAAAAATGTTCCATCATCTCCTAGCTCAAAGAGGAAACAATTATTTTTTTTAAAAATTTTTGAGCAAGAAACAATTCTTTAACTAAAAGAGTTTATATTTCACAGCAAATTAATCAGGATAAAATAACGACGAATAAGCGATAAAAATACCCTCCGCTAAAATTTTCTACAAATCTAACTTGGCAATAGACATCTTCTCATAATTAAGTATGCATAGTTAAATTATGGCGGAAATTGATACGGGCTTTCACATCTTTTTTCTCTTGAGCTGTGGAGAATTAACAAAGAGTTACATTTTCTCGCTACTGACCAGTCTCTCTCTCTCTTTTTTTTTTAAAAAAAAAATTATAAGGTCACGGTCAAAACTCAAAACCATGCAAGTAAAAAGCTAAGATTAAATCATCTATGGAGGGATAATTAGGGATCCTAAAATTCGGGTTTTATCGATGTGCTTGGTGACCGTACCAGTCTGCACATTTATTAGTCTTCCGAGAAATACGGTTAAAGATAATGATCCCATTGGTCTTCGTGGTGGATATGTATTGTCTCGTTCATTAATAAACGTGTAACTATCCGGGCGGAAGACGATTCTCTCGCTGCATTCTCCTGTACTTTCTTCTTGTTTTCTTGTCGTGTCGAAACACCGAGACAATTTGCACAAACAAATATCATGGTTGATATATCCACCTTATTCCTTCTTGGTGAATTTAATTAGTATCAACTGCTTTTCTTCCTTCCCTTGTAGTGAAAGCTTTACTTCATAGAGGCTGGGCAGTGCGGCTTCAATGTTGTCTCTTACTCGAGTTTTTAAATTACGCAGGGCCTTGATAGGGACTCATCACATCACTGTAATAAAATATGGACCGTTCAAAATATGATTTCATATTTAAAATTATATTTTTTAATAATGATTTTTTTAAGAAGTGTCAATTATAAGATTAATTATATTTATTTTAAATTTTATATCAATTAAAATAAAAATTATTTAAAATATAAAACTATTAAATGGTCTAAATTGAGATGAGCACTCTCTATCTATGCTCATCTTTACGATGAGCATAAAATATGCTCCCCTTACACTTTTATTGTATAAACAGGTTACCGTACTCTGCATCTATTTTTCTGCTGTATATGCAACTTGTCAAGGTCTTGCTTAATTGGTTGCAAAAGCCAGGTTAAAAAAAAAAACAGAGAAGTTTAATTGGTTACAGAACAGAATGAAGTTATACTGGAAGAAATAAAAGTTGTAACGTCACTTCTTTTATTTATTCGTAATTATTATTCAACCAACTATCCTACGTTATTTTTCATTCTGTACACATAATTAATGGACAACAACTGTCATCCAAAAACTAAATTATTCACGTTTTTATAATCTTTACAATTGTATTAGTGCGTATAACTAAACGCGGGTTTGAATGTTCAACGCAACAAATTAGTGGATGGCGGACGCCAAGCGGACAGAAGTGTCTTTCAAGATATAAATGCAGTGTGGGATATCCCATGTTCATACCTGTGTTCTCGGTGACAAGGCGTGCGCGCAATTGGCATGATTTGCATGGTTTCGCATTTCGTTGTTTTAATCTTCAAACCTGCTGCAATTAATTCTAACTTGTTAAGACCACACAACCGCTATAATTCCATGGACAGCCAATGAATAAGACATCCTTAATTTGGAACCAGGTCAGACTTCTGTACAAAAGCAATCAGAACTGATACACACACACACCACACACACAGACATACACATAGGAGCATATCCAATTAAATACTATAAGATTCCGGATTCCTTCAGCTTTGCCTTCAAAGTTCATTATATCGTCTGCAATATCATATTTGAAGCACGATGGAATTAGGAAAGAACAGACTAATCACCGTGCTTAGCATCGACGGAGGCGGCGTAAGGGGAATCATTCCGGGTGTTATACTTGCTTACCTTGAATCCCAGCTTCAGGTAGCTTCTTAGCTTCCACCACAATGCTCCGCCTCGGCATATCATTCCCCGCATCTGCACAATAGGTTGTGTGAGTGAAAAGTTGGAGGAGTAGAAAACGTGCATGTCAATTTTTCATTAATTATTTCACATAATTGAGCTCACTACACAACTGTGACCTTAGCACATGTCAAGAGTCTCGAGAAAACATTTGATTGCTTCATACTTAGATTGCCACCACTCTAATTCTTTCACCTATCAATTGGCTTTTGCAAGTATATATCACTGCATGGTTGTTTCATTGTTTATCTATGTACGGTGCAGAAATTGGATGGCGGAGATGCAAGACTGGCACACTATTTTGATGTGATTGCAGGAACAAGCACAGGCGGCTTGATGACTGCCATGTTAACTGCACCAGATGAAAAGAAAAGACCTTTATTTGCAGCCAGAGATATCAAGAAGTTTTACCTTGACAATTGCCCGAAAATCTTCCCACAGAACGGGTAAACCTCAATATAAGACACAGATTCACCATTAATTAAGCGCGCGCTCCCTTTTGCCTTTCCAAATATGTTCATGAATCTGATCATCAAGCAATATAACATTTATATATGTGTGTGTGTGGGGCAAACAGATGTAAATTATTGCGTGCCCTGTGCGGACCAAAGTACGACGGCAAGTATTTACATCGCCTAGTTGAGGAAAAACTAGGTGACAAGAAACTGGACCAGACACTGACAAATGTTGTGATCCCAACCTTTGACATCAAGAACCTTCAGCCAACCATCTTTTCTAGTTTTCAGGTTAGCATCTTCGTCACCTGATTGGGCAGCATGTGCTCCCTGCCCTGCATACGTTTTCCTTCTTCTTTTTATACCTTTTCTATCTGAAAATGAAGCCGATATCTAAATTCAAGAATGATCTCGCCTGCTTAAACCCAGGTGAAGCAAAAACCAAGCTTAAACGCCATGCTCTCGGATATATGCATTGCAACTTCAGCGGCTCCGACCTATCTCCCGGCTCATTATTTCCAAACAAAGGACGTCAACGGCAAAGTGATGAGAGAGTTTAATCTCATTGACGGAGGGGTTGCGGCAAATAATCCGGTACGCATGGCAAAACTCAATTTCGATATAAATGTACCGTCGAGCGATCTCACTGGAAAATGGAAATCAGCGTAATTATTACTATCCATGGTGGGTAATTGCAGGCACTGGTTGCCATTGGCGAAGTGACCAAGGAAATCATAGAAGGTAGCCCTGACTTCGTTCCGATAAAACCTTTGGAATATGACCGATTCTTGGTGATATCTTTAGGAACCGGGAACCCAAAAACTCCCAAGTACAGTGCGCATGAAGCAGCTAAGTGGGGCATCTTGGGATGGTTGGCCAGCAATGGTTCTACCCCTCTGGTTGACGTCTTCAATCAGGCTGGTGCCGATATGGTGCACTTGCATCTCTCCATTGTTTTCGAAGCCCTCTCCTCCCAGGAAACTTACCTCCGAATTCAGGTCCTCTTGTGTATGCAATTTCCTATTCGTGAACCGATCAGTTATTCTCTCGTACGTAGACAGTGAATTGACCACTTGAACGGTCTGCTGTGTGATTGCAGGATGATACGTTGCATGGAAAAACATCTTCTCTCGATGGAGCTTCACGAAAAAATCTAAATGACCTAGTTGAAATTGGCGAGAAATTGTTGAAAAAACCTGTTTCTCGGGTTAACTTGGATACCGGTACTTATCAACCTTGCAGCCATGAGACCAACGCGGAGGCTCTGGAAAGGTGCGCTTGGAAAAATTGTACAAATTTGTTGAATTGTACTTGTCACGGCCTTGCTAATCATCTGTTAATGCTCTGCTGTAGGTTTGCAAAATTACTGTCCCAGCAGAAGAAGCGCAGGGGCGGAGATAATGTTACTGATAAGGCCTAGCGTCCATTACGCAAATTGATTAGTACTTTTGTCAGTTGGAGTCGAGATCCATGCGTGGAGGGGCACATGCACTAGCAGTCAACCAGTCAACCAGTCAACCTTACTTTATTTTATCTCCTACACTTTTGTTTTCAAGCCCAAAAATCTTGAATAACTGTTCTGTGTATCCGATAAATAGTTTCCGGTAAAAGATTTGTTTCCCATCAAATAAATTTTTAATTTTTCCGCCAAGAAATAAATTTTCTAGGGAAATTTTAATGGTGAGAGAGGGATATATAATATTAATGGTAACAATAAATAGATCAGATCAGGCACAAGTCTCAATATAAATTACAATGTTTATTTTTTGGCCAACAGATTACAATATTGATATTTTATATGCCTTGTGAATAATAGTTTTTCTCAGAACAAAAGAAGCCATGAACCGGGAGACGTGGCAGATTATTTATCTTTTTTCTAATCTAATCATATCTATGGCTAAAAGAGAAATTCTCAATTCATATTATTCCTCCTATTATTTATAAGCTTCAAATGTAGAGAAAAGGTGTGGTTCATTTTATAAGCTTTAATTTAAAAGTTGTATAAATATTTAATGCATTTTTTAAATTTTGTCTTTAATTATTTATTCTTTTTCCTTCATCATACTCTTTTATCACATTTTTCCATATGTTCTCTTTTATCATTTACTATAAGATTATATTTGAAAACAAAATTATATTTCTAACCTTTTTATTATTTTTAACTAATTTTAAATAAAAAAGTGTCAAAAAATATCTGATGTGACAGTGGACCGCGACACGTGGCATCCGAACTAACGAAGTGGGCTTGCTGGCATGCTATGGCTCCACAATCCCGTCTTGGATTCCTGGATGTGTGTGTTGGGGAGCCCTTCCCGTGAGGGAGCCTGATGAGGGTGTGGCTAAAATTTAAGAAATAATAATAATAATGATACGAAGGATTCATGAGCACATCTTCGTTCATGGGCCGAAAAGTTGGCATATCTTCCCCGAACAAAAACTAAGGATCCATTAGTTTTACTTTCTGGGCAAACGGTTTCCTCTACAGAGAAAGCCCGAATAACCAAATGGGCCGCCTTTTCCATTTTGTCATCTAGCTATCTTCGTCCAATTGAATTAAAAAAAAAAAATCTGGCCATCTATACTTGACCGTCTTGACGTTTTGCTGTGATTCTCTTCCAGCGGAGCCCCCGGGGGGGGGGGGTTGAACCGGAAAGGATTCTCTCCTTTATAAGCACTTTGAGCTGAGAAATGTCTCGATTGTAAAATCACTTCCAGAAAACTAATCTCAACGCCGAAGTTAATTTTGACTCTGGCCAGTTTCTTTTTTCAATGCCAGTCAAGTTAGGGGTCCAAGTTTTTTGTTTGGTTAATATATGTTACCGATTTGAAACCCTAGAGTGGGAGCATATATGATCGGTTACTTTTATTTAATTTCTGTTCATACGATCCCTTGAATCGATCTGCGACAGTTTCACTTTTGTTACCTTCTTTGGCTGCGATGAAAATTACAGGAAGAGCTGGTGTTCCCGTGGAAGTGATGGGCTTGATGCTGGGAGAGTCTGGATGAGTACGCTGTCCGCGTCGTAGATGTTTTTGCGATGCCACAGAGTGGAACCGGTGTTAGTGTTGAAGCTGTGGATCATGTTTTTCCTACTAACATGCTCGATATGCTGAAGCAGACCGGAAGGTATTTTTGTTTTCCTTTGATTTCTTGAAACTTTTATGTTAATTTATGAGCCTTTGAATTTGTTGTTGCGACAATTTTGCACTTCATTTTTGTTTAGGGAAGTTTTGGCATAGACCATATCAATTACTGGCTACCTGCCCTGAATTATTTTTAAGCATTTCTTCTGTTTCAATCTCCCTTCATAATTTTTCGCTCATCCTTACCCTTAACATTGAAGAATTAGGCTTGAACTTCTAGCCAACAACACAGAAAGATATTTGCTACATAAAATTGTTGAATCTTGCCCTTTATTTCAAAACCCATCAATTAAAGTGGCAACATTTATGAGTGAACATTCTCTTTTTCCTCCTGTTCTATACATGTATCGTACTAGATGCAAGTCTAGTCACACCAATTAATTAAACTAGCACTTTGTTGTAGACCATAGATGGTTGTGGGGTGGTATTATTTCCATCCTGGATCTGGTTGTTGGCTTTCTGGAGTGGGCATAAATACACAACGGGTTATGACTTATTTTTCCATACATGTATTATATGGACGACTCTTATGTAATGGAATGAATTGTTGTATTTGAATTTTAAAGCAACTTAACGTATATAATTTTGATGGACAAATAAGGCTATACTTGTGAATAAGCTACAAGAACGAAACATAAATATAATTTCTGGGGACAATTGACATATTTAGCAAACTAGGATATGAAAACTCTCAGTATAGCTTTGCTGTTTTCAGAAACTCATGCACAATCTGTTTCCATGCTTTATCTAATACAGAGTTTTGAGGCTTTAAATCAACGTGTTGTGGATGTGGTGGTTGATCCTGTTCAGTGTGTTAAAGGCAAGATAGTGATTGATGCTTTTAGGCTTATCAATCCACAAACTATGGTGATGCGTCCGGAACCATGGCAAGCAACATCTAACCTCAGTCATCCTAATAAGCCATCCACACAAGTGAGTTATATGCAAAAACTCTTCAATAGCAATTCGCTTGTTAATCTTTGACTCTCTAGTGACTTATTATTTCCATTTCGAGGCTTTGCTCCATGGCTTGAACCGACATTATTATTCCACAGTAATCAATTACAGGAAAAATGGGCTTGAAGATAGGAGGTTGCTAATTCTTTATAATAAGAAATGGACTGATGGTTGGACGCTCAGGCGTTCTGGTTCACATTCTAAAACTAATGAACAGACCATCCGGGTAAGTTGATATTTATTTGAAATTGGTTGTAGAGATAAACGTGTGCTTTTCTTTCTGATTCATTTTGCTCTTCTCCCTGCTCCGACCCTTTTCCCTGTTTCTTTTACTTTTTCTCATTTTGATTGTGAGCGCATGCTTGAGAACTACACTAAGGCAAATATAGGCTTGATCACTCTACGCATATCGTAGATTTTTTTTTTTCATTCATTGGAATCTTTTAATATTAGTTGAGAGCTGGGTATAATTTTTTGTTATTCCCAGTTATTTTTCTACCCATGGTTGCTAATTATCCTTTTTGATGTTTTTGTGTAATGCAGGAGATGGTGAATTTAGCCATCAAGTACAACAAGGCAGTGCAAGAAGAGGATGAACTTTCGCCGGAAAAGCTTGCAAATTGCAATTGCTGATGTGAGCAGGCAAGATGACAAGAAGCACCTTAAGGAGCACGTTTCCAATTTGATGTCTTCTAACATTGTTCAAACTTTGGGAATGATGCTAGATACCGTTGTATTTTAGAGTTAGCGCTATACAATGACCTTGCTGATCATGTTCAGCAGTCGTTTATTCGTTTCACAGGTCCTTTCAAGTTTCAATTTTCTGCTAAGAGATATTACGTTTTTCCCCCCCTTTTTTTTTTTTTTCCTTCCTGAGTATGTTGATCATTCTTTTCTTTTTGGCCTGAACTTTTTTTCCAAGAGATTGGATTTCTCGGTAAGTTATCTTGAGGGCGCACGCACCACAAATATGTACAGAAACACGTGACTTGCAGTCTTGCAGAATCTCATCATCCGGCACTACTCTGTTCATTTTTGTGGATCAACAGTTCAAACTTTAAACTAAAACACCACGAAAGTTTACTTGCGAACAAACTTATACAAACTCGGTTGAAAAGTTAAATTTCAAAACTGCAACTCTGGCATAGAACTTGTAGCACGGCTGGAAAACGAAGGATGATAGTGCATGGAACATGGCCTAAAAGAACATAACAAGGAAGGTTACGGACCAACAATTGGAAGGACGTAAAGTAAAGACAGGCTGTGTGATCTGACGATAAAAGCCAGAAGACGAAATTTGGAATTAACCGGTGAACTCGGGGTGACCTTTATTATATTTAGGGACCTTAAGACGGGGGTCCTCGCAGAGAGTTGGCTTCGGGTGAGGAGCTTCATTGTTCATTAATGAATGAAGCAAGGCGTTTAATTAAGCTCTTGGCCTTGTCGCTATTAGGGTTGAAGATATGGAACACGTGATCCTCCCCTTTAGTCTCATAGAGCTCCGCCCTTCCCTTCCATCCGCTGTTCAACAATTTTTTATAATAAAGCTTCCCTCTTTCCATCAGTATGTCTCTCTCCGCCACTGTGACCAGCACCCTACTGCAACCCAACCTCTCCAAAGCCGGAGCTTCCTCCACAAACGGGTTAATCAGCGGATCATCATTCCCTTTCTCCGATGGACACACAAAATCCCACCACTTGTTCACCATTTCCCTCCTTGTTGTATCGGTAATCTCCACTCCAATCGGCTCCTTCCCCCAGAAATAAGGATTCACCATAACGAGACCAGAAACCTTGAAATACTCTGTAGGAACAGAGTCCGAGGCATGCAACCTTAAGGCCAGGAAGTGCGTAATATTGGCGCCCGCGCTATCACCTCCCAATAACACCCTGTCAAAATCAACGTTGTTCTTGAGCCAGCTTTCGTGGTCTTCACGGTCTTCTGTGGCGTGAGACGCTACCCACCGAAGCGCATCCCAGGAGTCTTCATATGCCGCTGGAAGAGGATGCTCTGGCGCCAATCTATAGTTGACAGACACAGCAACAAGGTTAGCCTCCGCCACGAGGTTGTTGAGGGAGTTATGGTAAAAGGGATCGGAGGTCGAAGAAATGCAAAAGGCGCCGCCATGATAGTAGAGCAGTAAAGGAAGCTTCTGAGGAGTTTTGGCGACGGAGTTGGGACGATAAAGCCTGGCTGTCAAGCCGGTTTCGGGTATGATGAGGATGTCTTTGGATATAACATTGGTGACAGGATCCAAGCCCGGAGGGGCAACTTGGGTGCCGGCTAATCTCTCGACGCTCCCGTCCTTGCGTACTCGAAGGTAAGGAGGAACCTCGATCGACATTTCTGGGTTGCCTGAATCCATTCGGGAGACGGGAGTGTGGAGTCTGGACGAGAGAGACAAAAACAGAAAGCCGAAGCCGGGAGCGGCGATAGGAAAGCACTTTATGTCTTAGATTTCCCACTCTTCAAAAGACGTCAGTGGCTTTATGGATGGCTAGGATTTGGTTGCGCCTTCTTGCCGTGCCTGTGAGCTGTGCCGATTATGACTAGCAATAGTTCTTTTTCCCCCTTTCCTTATTGAGGGGACGAGCGGTATTTTATTTTGCAGTTGCTATCTTGAGCGTTGATTTACCAATAACTTAATTAAAAATATGACATAACTTGAGGTCTGAGGTCGTCATTGGTGAGCTATTTATTAAATTCAGGTCAAAATAGAAAAAACTATCAATTACATCGTTGTTCCCAAAAAAAGAACTATCGCTTACTTCTGCAAATTTAATAAAATATCGAGAAAAAGGGTAAATTTGATTACTTTATTTAGACAATAGCGGAAATTTAGAAAATGGGGAATTTCCAGGCTATATTCCGTGAATTATTCAAGGGGAACAATTTTTAGTAGCTGCGGTTCTAATCTGAAGCAGGCAGTTTAGAAGCACGGCTTTTTTGTTCTTTAATACAGTATGTTTTATTATTTCTGTGACAACGTTGTTAGTGTTAGTAAAAAAATGGAACGTGGGGGGAACAAAAGAATTTTATATGTCCTTGTATCAACAAAATGCAGCTGAAAATAACAGAAAGCGTTGATTGAGCAGACAGACGACTGAGATATCAAGTTGGAAAACAACAAATAAGAACCGTGCGTGGAAGCAAAGTGAAATGCATTGCGCTTGAATGATTATGCACGAACCGTATTAAAAATTATTCAAATGATCAAGCAGGGCAGCCAGATTTGGTTAATTATTTGTTTAATCAATGGAAATAGTTGTTTAACGGATGGAAATCACAGCGCCCCTGCCGCGTGCCTTTCCTCTGATCCAAGGTAGGCCCACAGGAAAAGCAGTGCCTTTGAACTTTGAGCTGGACAACGACACAAGTACCCATTGGCGGAGAAGGTGGTCTGACTAATAATCCATGTTATACGCTTATTTTCCGCAGCGACCGACAAGAGGGTAAAGAAGTATGAATGAAATTATTGCCAGATTTTCTTTTCTTGGTGCAAGAAATTGTTGCAAGTTAAAGTAAAGGAGGCATATCTCTGTTGAAGAAGTCGGCCAGGCCTTGGATCAAATCTTGGGCCTTGTTGCTGCCCAGATCTTCCAAATGGAAACAGTGGTCCTCCTCTTGAGTCTCATGGATCTCCACCACCCCAAGCCAACCGCTCTGACTCAATGCGTTATAGTAGAGCCACCCCCTCTCCTTCAGTATGTCCTTCTCCGCCACGCGCACTAACACCCTTCCACAACCCAACCACGCCAAGCTGGGGGATTCTTCCGCCACCGGATTAAGCCGCGGGTCGTCCTGGTCCGGCGTGGATGGGCAAACATATGGCCATAATCGATCCACCGACGCCTTTCTCTCCGGATCCATCGCCTCCGACCCGGTGGGATGCGAACCCCAGAAGAATGGGTGGACTAATGCCGCGCCCAGAATCTCGAGGTCGAGCTCGTTGTCGGGATTTCCCGCTGCCATTGCGAGATTATGAACTATGTTAGCGCCAACGCTGTCCCCAGCCAGGAAAACTCTCCTGAAATCTGCGTGCTCATTTAACCAAGGCTCGGGTCCAGGACTCTTTCGATGGGATGCGACCCAGTGAAGCGCAGCCCAGGAATCTTCGTAAGCGGCGGGGATGGGGTGCTCTGGGGCCAGGCTGTAGTCGATGGAAACGGCGACGATGTTGGCATTGGCGACTAGAGTGGAAACGTAGTTGTGGTGGAGGGAATTGAAAGGGGAGGAGACAAGGAAACCGCCGCCGTGGAAGTAGAGCAAGAGAGGGAGCTTGCGGTTGCGGGGAGTGTGTTGGGGGAGGAATAGACGGGCAGAGATGTTGGATTGAGGGAGGAGGGTGACGTCCTTGGAGGAGACGACAGTGTTTGAGGAGGGGGGAACAAAATCGGTGCCTCGGAACCTCTCAACAAGGAGGGATCCGGTGAATTGGGAAACAACGTCGGGATGAGGAGAAGCGGAAGAGCTAGAGTCCATGGCGAGAGAAAGAGGGTCCAGAGATGAGGTTGGAGAGTTGGAGTAATGTCAGGAGGGATTGTCGTCCTCTAGCTACTTCGTGAGGCCGTGGAGTGGATAATGTTAGCGTGCAAGACGATGATGATCGAGCGGATGAGCAAGAGTGAAAGTAAAACCGACTCATCATGTGCTGCTATGCTATATTCACTCGTAATGTGGCGATCTTTTCGTATCATGAAATCGTTTTTCTGCGGCTACGAAGATAATCAGCTCTCTTTGCAGCTAGCACTCAGCAAGAGCCACCGTATTGTACCGGGCAAAAAAAATTTAAAAAAAAAAAAACAGAAAGAAAGAAAAGGAAGAGCCACTGTCAAAGAAACAAGAAATTAAAGGCCATATAGGCCCACAGACCCTCTGAGACATTCCATGCGAATTGTTTGGATGTGTCGGGCCCGGCCCATATCCCTCGCTCTGCTCCGACCCTTTATGCTGCATCCTAGTCTTTATTAATATTTTGACCACTGCACGTGCATTGTTCTTAATAAATAATTACCTTCGCACTTGGGTGCCTCGCGTTTCTGTTCCAGAAACAAACCATGCACTTTGTTTAATGTAAATTTTATAGTGATAATATGATATTTTGGGAAAAAAAAAGAGCCATAACATAGTAGCTTCATGGAATACACTAGGGGGTATAAATGTGTAGACCCTTGAGGATGCGAAAATGAGATCCGTGATTTGGTCCCAAAAAAAAAAGGATAATGAGATCCGTGAAGGTGCAACGCCACGCAGTGCAGAAGCAATAAAATGGGTTGGAGGGCAAAACATCGTTCAATAAAAATGTGATCCAAAGAAACAATACATAAGATCACATTTTGGGCCCCGGACTTAAGTTTGACTAGCCCGAAAGGCTGATCCAACCCAAGCTCACTTGCCCCTTGCCGGGGCTATTTATTTATTATTTTATATTTAGTATAATTTTTAATTTAATTGGTTACTTTTTTTTTATATATATAATTTAATGGGTTACTTTTTTAACACTACTTCTTCTGAAATTTAAATGTTATACCGCACTTATTATTTGAGTTTTCTTTTAAGATGTTTCATAGTTTTTAATACAAAATAATTATTGGAATTTTTTAAAGGCATTATTTTAAAAAAAAATCGCAAAAAAGACCTCTAAAACAGAAAAATTACATACACAGACTGGTTTATAATAATTGTTATCAAAATTTATACTATTATTATCAAAATCTATATTAATATTATCATAGGTTTATTTACAATTTTTTTATTTCGGTAGTTTTTTTTTGGCCAGTTTTACTCATTTAAAAATGTTACCAAAATAATTAGGGAACTTCCATGTTGCAGAGAAACTCGGAAAAGTAAACGGGACGCTGCTCGGTTTACTGTTCACAATCAGCCCTCGCACTTCCATCGGATTGCGAAGTGGAAAGAAAGATGGGGAAAGGGGCGGCTCTTAGATCACTTTTCCGATCACTGGCTTCCAGATCTTATCGTTTATCTGCCAACAATAACCATATTCTACGCACCAGCCATACTCACTCCCGCGACTATTTGGCTGCTCGTACCCTTTTTAACCTATCTCCCTCTCATGTATCTTCTTCTGCCGATCGTCTCCCTACAGGTACTCTCTTCATCGTTCAGTATTTTTATTTCTATGCACTTCTTTTCGTTGTTTTTTTTTTTAATATTCTACAGCTCTTGCAGAAATGTTGTTTTGGAATAGACTCAAGTCCACTCGTAGGACGGTATTCCTCTTTCTAAAAAGAAGTTATTGAAGATGAAATTTGTCCACAAAATTACATTTTTCATCGCAGGAGGGATTCGATCAGCCATATATATATTCCCTTTTAATCAATTGGATTTCTTATGAGGAAAAATGATTCTGGCTTCCTTCACACTGCGTGATGATATCTGATTGGTTACTTAATATCCTAACGTGGTGCTTACAAATGAATAACATCTTAAAATTCACATTTTATATATATATATATATATATATATATATATATCTTTTTTAGAATAACATTTATGATTTCCTCACACAGTCATGTCATGCAATTATACTTCGCACCATGAGTAGGATGGCTTCTTGTTTCTATGACCTTGTCATATAATTCCAGAATTGAAGCTTTTCATATAAGACTGTATGGATCTAGATTGCTTTTGAAGAAGGAGGAGAGAGAGAGTAAACGATCATTCCAATTTCTTACGGTCGGAAAGAAGTTTGCATTCTTCCTTTTTCTAATGAAGTAGGAATTCTGTTTTGACTTTCTAGGTTTTTAATCTGATTATGCTATTATCCAAAGCAACTTGTCGGCAGTTTCTTTCTGCGACTTCTTCAGGGAATTGTCCCTAATAGGCTGTCGGCCCTAAAAATTATAACTAGTAGGTTTTGCAGCGGGAAACTTTACCCATTCTTCCAGCTAATGAGCTTGCTTTTGCGGTTGTGCTGAACAAAGTACATTATCATCTGTGTTATTGGTAATGTGAGGGTGGACATTGAACCAGCTGTTTTAAAGAAGTATGTTAGGGAGTGAAATCATAGCTATAAAACCTGGCATCTGCATGCATGTGACTTGCAGATTTATTGGTAAACTCAGAGGTGGCTATTATACGCTGAATTAGATATCTGTGAAAACATCTGCAGAAAGCAGGTCTCCTCTCTCAACAGGCTTGGGAAGTGTACGATTTTATAGTGAGCATGTAACCCACTTGCCTGAAATTCAAGACCCTAAGCTACAAAATGCTTTCAAGGATTTGATGGCAGCAAATTGGGATGAGCTCCCCCATGCTGTCATTTATGATGTGAAGACGGCATTAACTGGAAATACTGATGACAAAGCTGGCAAGGAAATAGTTGAAAATGTCTTCCGTGCTGCAGAAGCCATTGAAGAGTTTAGTGGGATACTAGTGACCCTAAAAATGGAAATTGACGACAGCATTGGGTTAAGCGGCGAGGTATGTAAATGTTCATTTTCCTGCAACGTTACACATAATTGCATTAACTTTCCCTTCTCCCATGGTGATAGTCTGAAATTTTAATGATCATTTTAGGATGCAAAGCCCGCACCTGATCATATAAAGAATGCGCTTAAAACTGTTTTTGATCGTTACAACACTTATTTGAGTTCGTTTGGGCCGGATGAAAACTATCTACGGAAGAAGGTGGAGATGGAACTGGGCACAAAGATGATCCACTTGAAAATGAGGTGCGGCGGCCTTGGTTCTGAGTGGGGAAAGGTATCTTCATTTCTTGCCCTCTGAATGTACACTATTGCACTTGTGATGATATTTCCAAGTTAGTGGGCACTGGGCACTACTACAAGATTGATAGTTTTTCATTTTTTTCCCCCCTTGAAATATGTTTAGGCAGTTTAGCTGAGTCTTATCATCATCACTTTGGTCCCTCTTCATTTATTTTTGAATAGATATATGTAATCAGTCTTCTGTATTATGAACGACTACAGATTCCAATTATCCGTCTAATACAGGCTTTTCATTTGCAGGTTTCTGTTCTTGGAACTTCTGGACTTGCAGGTTCATATGTTGAACAGAGAGCATAGAAACAGCCCATGTAATTGTCTGTTTAAAGTTATGCTTTTGCATATCTGCAGACGGTGCGATTTGTTTTCTCCTAAACTTTGTTGTTGAGCTTCTTATGGCATGTACACAAGGGCGCATTGGTTTTGCAAGAATAAAGCAACATGTCTTCGCAATGTTTTTGCAGTAATCCTTCACCAATGTCTTATTTCAGTTTGATTTGTTGTTTTCGCAAGGTAACAATATGAATGCCTCGATAATAATTAGAGGAGACTATGGCTTGCGTTGGTGGTGACTCATGGTCTCAACTGGCCATGAACACGTGTTGAAAGTTACAGTTTCGACAATCTTCGCCTCCGGTAATTTTGATCTATAATGGGATATCAGAAAGGGGGAATTTATGTTAAACTGAATTCCAAAAGGGAATTTATATAAAATCACAAAACTTGGTATATCCACGCTTCTGTTGACCTTGGAAGCCACCTTTGGTGGTCATATGCTAGCTAACTAAAATCGCCAAGCTAACTGGCCTTCAAGGTGACACAAAATCGGTAAAAGGCTGAAGATATGTTGACAAATGCATAAAAGTCTGATTCAGGATCCATGTGTTTTGCCGAGGGCCCTGATCATGTACTAAAGTAGATCGATTTGTTCATTTTTCAAAGTGGACGGGGCTGCGCTTATTAATCTGACAGATAACAGTTAATAGATGCGTGTCATCAAAGGAATACTTCCATTTTCACTAATTTGTTGCACCTAATAATATTAAAAGAAAGTTTTATTGTATTATTATAAAACTAACAATGTTATATGGTAGTGAGTATTAGACTTTATGACAGTTTGCATAAACATAAAGTGAAGGTAGTTGAGATAAGAATGTCAAGATGGATATATAGTCATACAAAAAAAGATAAAATTCGTAATGAATATATACAAAAAAAATTTGGAATGGCTGCTGTCAATAAGAAAAAGGTTAAAAACCATTTAAGATGGTTTGGTCACGTGTAAAGAAAATCTTTGAATCTGCTAATGGGAATGGTTGATCGAATGGTATGGAATTCTCTAAAAAATACAGGTGAAGGTTAAAGAGAATGCTAAAATCTATTAATTAACAACATATCTAAATATTTGGTCTTGAATGAAGTTTAATGGCGTTAACAACCCATATAGTAAAATAAAACTTTGTTGTTGCTTCGGCTATCCTGTGCATCGTCTTGAAATTGACTCCTATGCATTTTGTGTTCAAAATTGCCCTCATGGAAGAGTCCCGATAGCTTATACGCCACAAAATCGTCCAGAATCTGTCTGTGTCAAGAATTTATACGTCTCATATCCACCCTTTTATTTTGTTTGTATTTTCTTTTCTCTAGCATCCTTTATTTGCATTTAGCAAGATCCTCTCTAATAGTCTAATTTACTCCGTCATGTCTTATTAGTATAGGGCAAGATTTAATATAGTAAGCCCACCTACTCGTAACAAATTAGATTTTCCTTCCTCATGAAATTGGATTAACTCCCTATCAGTGGTGCATAATTTCTTCCTATAAGCGACATGGTCAAAACTATAACTGTTTAATTTTTATTTTCAGCGCAAATAAACTATAATTAATGATATGAAAAGATGAAGAATGAGATAAACCGATTATCCGCTTTAGCGTGAGATTATACTCTTTGTTGAATTCTAAACCCGTTGGCTGACTCAAAAATAAAGGTATTTTGCTTCCCCCTAAGTCAGCGGGAACCTCTGACTTATATGCTCCTACTTCCTTCGCATTAAATGTCAAGCAGTTAAGCAAATGCATATCTCACAATATATTCTTTATTATATTGGACGGTGGGAGGGAGGTGACACAGTCATAAAACATAATCATCCTGCAACAACCTTGAACTGATTGAAGCACTCAGATCATTTATTCAAGTTTGGGTGGAAACTTGTGGGGTTCTCTACCCAGTATTCGTCATGATAGGACAGCTTGAAACGGCATCTTCATTAGAGCCATCAGAGACAGGGCCCTTCGAGAGAGGTCCAAGCAGCTCGGCAGGATCGTAAAAGAACTCCACCTTCATTACTTTCTCATCCTCGTCCAACTGTAACCACAAAGAGATATTACTAAAACAGAAGAAACATGGTCACTTTGTTTTCTAGCTTGGGTAAAGCTGATTACCGTGAAAATGCCTATTCCAAATAATTCAATCTTTTCTCCAGTTGGGGCATGGCCTTTGAAAGGACCCTCCATGTAACCCCAGTGCCTGAACTTGAAAACAACCACTGGTGGGCCACAGTACACGTGGACAATCTCCAGAGCAAACCCTCGGGGGAAAGTAGTTGTAAAAGCCTTGTGAGATGACTCTGCTGTTTCTTCATCTGGATTGTATAACTTGAATTTGTCTGGCAGGGAGGTTTGCAGTAGCGGGTTATACCCTCCACCAAGCTTGATTAAATCTTCAAAAGTTATAGGCTTCCTTCCTGTGAATGGTCATCAGTCGAAAATAAGCTTGCTTCACAACATATTGAACTTAAATCCTCGAGTTTGCAGTTATAGAATCCTGCTGATTCGTTATTTATGCGATGTTACCGTTCAGGCTGAAAGTATATTTGTCTGGGTCCATTGATCTGTACTGGCGGGGATCTGCCTTGTGGAAAAGTTCCATTTCCCAATTCTTTAGGAGAGTCTGCACCTTCTCCTCCAACGACCCCGGAGGCCATACCTTGTAGAAAAAGCATAATACATAAGATTGATATCAACAGATTCGCTATTCCCAGCTGGTATATTTGCTCTAACCACTAGACACACACGAGGGGGGAGGGGGGGGAGAGAGACACCTTGGTTCTGCCTTCTTCGAAGAGCTTGTTGACAACATCATAATTAGGAGGGGCACCAAATCTCCAATCGATGTTCTTCTCTGCATCTCCGTGTAAGAAAGTGCGATAACTGTCCTCCATAACTTCACGCTAGAGTGAGTTGCGCGCGGCTTGAAGTTTGGGTTTTATAATATCCTCTGAGAAACTTTTTCAACGCAGGAATGCAAAATGAATTTGCCCTACCGATTCCATATTCAAAAATTTAAAAGTAAACAATAATATTTTGAATTGAAAACCGGGGCATGAGAATTCTGAAAGGAAAAGGTTTTAGTTTAGGTGGTTCTCTGACTTGGTCACATAAATGACAAAACAAGAACTTATTTTATCATGTAGGGTGAGAATCCTTATAGTCACAAATAACAAGATTTTATCCGTGCGAGTGTGTATAGTCTGCACAAAATCTTACTATCCACAAATTGCGCGGACTTATTCTGGATATTTAATTAATGACAACAGAAGATAGTAAAGAATATAGAACAGAAATAAATCACTGATATCATGGATGCAATAGCAGCAGGTTATACATTGACATAATGGGCCAAGAGATTAGGAGTTTGCAAGAAAACAGAACCGAAAGAGAACGTGATGGGCGAGGAGATCATCATCTATTAAGAAGATAATGACATGATGGACGAAGAGATTAGGACATTCCAAGAAAACGGAACCGAAAGAGAACAGCTTACTCAAGGGGAAAGAAACAACCAGGATTCGAGAACCAGCCAAGATTAGGACATCATTGAGAAGATTCATTGTATGCTCGATTTTCTTGATTCCAAATTTTATAGTGGGTCCACAATTTTTGTATTCATTTATATCCACATATGTCTGATCTACTTTAAGAGTAGTGATTTTTCTCTTCAATTTTGTTTCATATTTGATCACAGTATGAAGTTCCAAATTTGAAATATGAGTCATCACTACAAAGTTTGAACGGATAGTTTAAAAGTGAAGGACAGTCAAAGTTTTGAAAAAACGAGTTGCCTAGGGATTTTTTTTTTTGGGGTCACATCTAAATCATATAAAATTATAAATCATATCAAGGACTATACGAGGACAGACTGGTGAGCATTCATGAAAGGTGCATAAGAATTTTTAAAACAAAAAAAGGCGTTATCACTTCATTCATGAAATTGCCACAAGATGAATTTGTCCGGCCAAGTCCTGATTCAAAAATTAAGAAAAAAATAACAATACATTGAATTCAAAACTGAGGAAGGAAAAATCTTGAGGGAAAAGTTTTAGTTTAGATAGTTCTTTGACTTTGTCAATTACTCTCCGGTCCTAAATATAAAACATTTATACTAGTCAGTATAAGGGTTTTATATTTAGAATCAAAAGTAAACAGCAATATATGTGCGGATTTAATCTCGTACGATAAGAATCCAAATAATGACAAATAGCAAGATAGCTTGCGCTGAGAGGAGACGTGTGGTAGAGTTTTGCAGAGAGCAAGTTGGCAAGAAATTTCTAGGTTTTATATTTTTGTAATAGATCTGTCTTGTAGGCTTATGCTTTCTTGTTTTAGACTGTGTCTTTCTCGCCGTTTAATACTATCTCTGTTTTTTAATATAAGAGTTAGTTTGACTTTTAATTTGGTATTAAATACAAATCTCAATTTATTTTGTTTTTTATGTTGATCCAAAGTAATCATTATAGTAATTACATAGGTTAAATATTTAATCAAATAACACTTGCTTGGCAAAAGTATTTTAGGTAAAATAACACATATTTATTACAAATAACTAATTTAATTAATTTTTTAATTTATTTAAATTAGTTAACTATTCTTATATTAAATATATGAGGTAGTATTAAATTCATTCTTTTTATCAAAAACAAAAAAAGTTGGCTAGAAACTTGACATCTTTGCAGAAAACACGATGTCTCTGGTGCTCTCTCATCGTAGAGCATTGGCCTACTCTCGGAAGGCTTCTTTTGTTGATCGGCTGAAAAACAATGGACGACAAGGTTTTTTTTTTTTGTTACGAGAGAGGGCAAAGCCCGGCTAAGTTAAACTAAGTAGGAGGGGAAATGAATCCCATGGACTCTTTCTGCACAATTATCTGTAAATGAGGAGGACACGAATCCATAGTAGAAGATCTGGAAAGACCCTCTTTTGCTAAGGCATCAACAATCTGGTTCTGCTGTCTTGAAATAGCCTGTAACTTTAATTCCCAAGGACAACACATGAAGTTTTGGATCTGGAAAAAGAGGAGGCTGGCCCTTCCGTAGCGTTGACTATCCTGAAGCATGCGAAGAAGGTTCTTGGCATCTGATTCAAGAATTACTCTTCTCGATCCAAGTTCCCAAGCTAGCTTCAAGCCTCTATAAATTGCCCATTCTTCCGCTTCAAAGGGTTCACAGACTCCAATGTAATGAGTAAAACCAGCGATCCAATTACCATTATGGTCTCGGATTATTCCACCACAGCCAGCCTTACTGTTTGATTTACTCATAGCTCCACCTACATTCAGCTTAACCCAACCCACATTAGGCCTCGTCCAAACTATATATTGGTTAACATTGCTATTACTCTAACGGGGATTAATTGGGTAGGTTTTCTAGACCCACCAATGGAAATTTGGATGGGCCATATTCCCGTGCAGATGGTCTATGTAGTAGAAACATGTCAAATGCCCAGCCCACATCATACTTATCGGATCTGTATCGCAAGACCCAATCAACATTGGACGAGAAAATAGTGTTAAAATAGGTCATTTTATATGATCTCAAAATTAATTAATTAATTGAAAATCAGTGTGAAAATCGTTTTTTTCTTTGAAATCCAATTTTTAAGGAGTCGTCGATGGTGAATAAAATGGAAAGGAAAATTGACTGGATAGGTTTTCAATTTAAGAATACTTTATTTATAGACAGTTTTGACTGTGCCATCTGAAAGCCTTTTTATTTCAGGAGGAGTAAAAATATAGACATCTCGATATAATAATAGAGAATTAGAAAAATACTGCATGTTTTTTATATTCACCAAACGTCTGCTATGTGTGTTCTCTTATTCGTCAATTCTTTGTTTTTTTTAAAATTATAGTGTGTGGGCTAGTAGTTTATCTTGAGATTGGCTGGGGAGGAAAACCAATGAGGGATGCAGGAAGTTCTGTCGTAGGAACAAAATCACTGGAATTTCTTAGCTCTAGAAATACACGGCAAGTCGTGGTTTTTATATTATTGTCTTCACGTCATGACGAGTTGACACGTGTGTTGAAATATTCGAAATTTGGAATTCCTAAAATAAAGCCTTCGCACCGTCGAAGAAACGAGGTGGAAAGGAATCACCCCACACTCAACTGGGCCAAAGTCAATCGCCGTCTTTCGTTTTATAGCTCCCTAGCAATGCCGTTGAATAGGTGGAAGAAAATGGGTAGCTTGACAGAGGATCAGCTCCTTCAAATGGTTAGAGATTTCATTGAATCTGATTCCGAAGCAGCCTTTACTTCCGAGGCCCTCTCTGAAATTCACAAACCCGTATGCATCACCTCGCAGTTGCAGGTTTCTTTATCTTAATATCATTTCCTTGTTCCTTCAATTCTTTTCCATGCTTAGTTAAATGTCCCCACGCCTCACCGATATTTCTTTTTACAGGAAATACTATGGGAGGTCACAGATATTGAAGTAGAGATTCTTGAAAAGATTCCGAAGTATGCAAAAGATGAAGAATGTGATGGTGCTTCTCACTTGAAGAAGCTGGTTGTGATAAAACTCAGAATGGATGGCTATGAAGCTTCTCTTTGCCAAACGTCCTGGTTGCCCACTATCAATCGTCCTAAAGGTTTCCTCTGAGCTCTTCTTTGAGATGATATGATGCTTTTCTAAATTCCTCGCCTGACTCTATATATATATATATATATATATATATATATATCCGATAATTTGATAATTATTTTGGGTTTTCATCTAGCTTTTAAGTTCACAAGTGATTACGAATTCATAGACGTGATGATGGTGATGGGCAACACTATTGAAGGCAAAGCAGCAAGGCTGATAGTGGATATGGACTTCAGGTCACAGTTTTTGCTGGCAAAACCAACGAGAGCATACGAAGACCTCACTGACATGCCTCCTTCGATTTTTGTTGGTACTGAAGAAAGATGGAGCAACATAACCTCTTTGCTTTGTTCAGCTGCTAAGAAATCGTTGAGAGAGAAAGGCCTTCACGTTCCTCCATGGAGAAAAGCCGCTTACATGAAATCCAAGTGGCTTTCCAAAGACTGCAAGAAGATCTCCTTCACACCCGATTTAAAGCTGGGAATGGAGGGCGAGTTAAAAAGTGAAAATTAGCTCTTATATATATAAGTCTTCAGATAAACATTCGCTACTCCAAATTTTGAGTCGTTTTTGGCCTTGTGAGACAGTACCAAGGGATCCACTTCCAGTAATTAAAGCACGCCATATTTTGAAATCTGAACTTTCTAGTAGTTATGTTCGGTCAGCTTCTTTCTCAGTCATTTCCCGGACGTTTTTGTGATATCTGTATGACTGTATTATTGTGAAGAACTCTCTCTCCAGGTGCCCAGTCTTGTCCTTTGCATTTTCCCGTGTGATAGGGCTTAAATTTCCACAGTACTGGAGGCCTGAGTTGACGTGGATGGTAGATGGATAAGAAGAGGGTCAAAATCTTTTGGACGTGACTATATCATTAATCATCAATTCACTATCAGCTATTCCTGTTCGTATCTCGGCACCTGGAATGTGAAAAAGTTCAGTATGCTTTTCCGTTAGTTTGGGAGTCCGAATGACCCAAGTGTGTGTGTGGGGTGTGGAAGCATATTAAAAGGATGTCATCAAAGGCAGTGAATGATCCAACGAAAAGCCTTCATTACACAACGTGCTAATGGAATCGGATCGAAAAGAATAGATGTGAGTGGATAGAGACACTGCAAAAGTAATAACGACGGATGGTGAGGGCGCTAGCCGAGGTAGATGCAGGCGCGGTCTGATCTCGGAGGAGCTGAATATTGATCATTCTGTATATTCAGAACCATATTTCTAATTAGCTTAGCCAGGCGTAAGTACGTGGAGGTTATTATTTCTAAGTGTTTGGAAGGATTTATTTGTGTGGGCGATTTTTTGTGTGGCAAAACTAGTTGTGTTCAGAGCTAAACAAACAACTCTCAAAATGCCCAACCTGACGCCTTCACAGTAAGCTCGTGTGCCGAACCTGCTGTAATGCATGCCCTTCTTATTCACTAAGTTACAGGCTGTGGGAATATTTTTAGCATACCCAATTAAAAATAATTTTAATGTACACGAAAAAAAAAAATTTAAAAAGTGATTCTCCTACCATCG